GGGAAGGGCCGCGCGTCCCGCCCGGCGCGGGAGAAACCGCCAGGATGAAGCTGGTGAGGAAGGACCTGGAGAAGGACAACGCGGGGCAGGTGACGCTGATCCCCGAGGAGGCCGAGGACATGTGGCACACGTACAACCTGCTGCAGGTGGGTGACAGCCTGAGGGCCTCCACCATCCGGAAGGTGCAGACCGAGTCGGCCACGGGCAGCGTGGGCAGCAACCGCGTCCGCACCACCCTTACTTCGACTCGCAGGCCTGCCAGCTGCGGGTCAAGGGCACTAACATCCAGGAGAACGAGTATGTCAAGATGGGAGCTTACCACACCATCGAGCTGGAGCCCAACCGGCAGTTCACGCTGGCGAAGAAGCAGTGGGACAGCGTGTTGCTGGAGCGCATCGAGCAGGCGTGTGACCCGGCCTGGAGCGCCGATGTGGCAGCCGTGGTCATGCAGGAAGGGTTGGCTCACGTCTGCTTGGTCACCCCCAGCATGACGCTTACCCGTGCCAAGGTAGAGGTGAACATCCCCCGCAAGAGGAAAGGGAACTGCAGTCAGCACGACAAGGCCCTGGAGAGGTTTTACGAGCAGGTGGTGCAAGCCATCCAGAGGCATATCAACTTTGAGGTGGTGAAGTGTGTGCTGGTGGCTAGCCCAGGCTTCGTGCGGGAGCAGTTCTGTGACTACATGTTCCAGCAGGCAGTCAAGACTGACAACAGACTTCTGCTGGAGAACAGATCCAAGTTCCTACAGGTAAGGACCTAAACAGGCTCCAGAATGGGTAAAAAGAGGCTTGAGAGTTGGTTGTGATAGTAAAAGGTAGTTACATGGGAAATAATTCACTTATTAGAGAAAATAAACTTGTGACTGAGCATCAGGAGGAAATTATTCTCATGCCTCCCAAACTATGAGATAGTTAGGCATGATGGTTCCCTCCTAGGATACCTTAATGTGGAGTAGAGAAAGTGTTAGATATTTCAAACTCCCTATAAAGGCATGTTTAATCTTCAGTTAAGTGTTAAGCACAAATTGGAAAATACTGTTAATCTGCCACACTCTATATGCATGCTTAATAACAGTTTTCTAGAGATGTTTATTAGAAAGTACCTGGTTGTGGTATAGGTGAGTTAATTTTGCTGTTAGTTTTGTACTGCACAGATAAAGATTATGCAGACCGTAGTATTTTTTTTCTGTTCCTTAGTCTTCTCATTGAGTGGGTGGGGATTTTAGCCTTTCCTTGATATAGGCAAATTCAAAGTTATCATAAGGATGCTTGTATAATTTTTAAATTGGAATGGGCCTGTAATCTCTGCTTACCTACACCTGGGGGGCAGGGTATGTCCCGGTGCTTAATGGTCCCAGAGTTTAGAAGACCCAATGCACCAAGAGGCCTCGCCTTGCATCTGTAGTACTATGTGTGGGAAGTTTTAATGTACTTCACAGCTTTGCAAGCGTAGTAGCTATCCAGCTGTGCAAGACTTGATGTTTTTGCACTATATGTCTGCAGTTTTAAGAGGCCCTTCCTTGTCTGGAATACTTTAAAAGAGAGAGGTCTTAGTTTCTTAGTAGTTTCAAGTAGCCCTACCCTGGGGACTGTCTGCTGCCGCTTGCATATTTAACCCAGTCTTTGGATAAGAGAAACAGTTCTCTTGCACTTCTGGAAATGCAGTTTAAGGGGTTTGGTGTAGGCTTTGGGTTGCAGGAGAGATCTGTTTAAAAAATAATCATGTATGTTTCAAGAAAGAGGCAACTTCCTAGAATAATTACCGAGATTAATACTATGTATAGTGGAAATGGTACTTTTTCTTTAAAAACACTAAACCTTTGACTTTGTTTTTCCTCTAGGTTCACTCTTCCTCGGGACACAAATACGCACTGAAGGAAGCACTCTGCGACCCAGCTGTAACTAGTCGTCTTTCTGACACTAAGGCAGCTGGTGAGGTCAAAGCCTTAGATGACTTCTATAAAATGCTGCAGCACGAGCCTGACCGGGCCTTTTATGGTCTAAAACATGTGGAGAGGGCAAATGAAGCTATGGCCATTGACACCTTGTTGATCAGTGATGAGCTCTTTCGGCACCAGGACGTGGCTACACGTGCCCGATATGTTAAATTGGTAGATAGCGTACGGGAGAACATGGGCACAGTACGCATTTTCTCCAGCCTTCATGTGTCTGGAGAGCAGCTTGGCCAGTTGACAGGGGTAGCAGCCATCCTGCGCTTTCCTGTTGCTGAGCTCTCTGACCAGGAAGATGAATCTAGCTCTGAAGAGGATTGATAACTGTGACTTCATTCCGTAGTTTCTTTTCCAAGTCATGTGGAAATGCCATTTAAAGTCCCTCACTTCCTATGTACTGTGTGCAGATGTTCCATGACACGTAATTGAAAGTTCTTTAATAACAGACATATACAGTATATAGCTCTGCTCAGTACAGGGCTCGATATCTGTTCTATGGTAATAGTTACTGGTACACTGTGCATTTGAGGTGGCTGGTTTTTTTCACATCCCAGACCTCCAGCAGTACAACAAACTAACTCCTCCGAGCTACTTATTCTGCATGTTACGGCAGACTGGTAGCTTAGTGGAATGTGTATGAAAAGATAATAAACTAAGAGGGAGAAATTTGTGTCAGACTGTCTATTTCTGTTCAAGTGGTTGAAAAAAGTAAAACAAATGTAAACGCTTTTGTGCAAGATCTATCAAAACTGTGCCTGATCTTAGGAACTTGCTGTTCTTTCTAACATGTATCAGAGGAATGGGGTCAACAGTATCTCTTGGGGCTTTTTGTGGTGTCTAACCACTGAAATATTTCTGTGAAACATTTGAAGAAGTCTCTCAGAAACCAGATCCTTTAAAGTTCACCATTTCCTCCTTAACATGGTAGTAGATGCAGGACAGTGAATTTCAGTGCACCCATTTCAGTTTTCTTTCTGAATTCTGTTACCTCAGGAGGTTGTCCTGAAGGCTAACAAGGTGTCATTAACTGGATTCTGCTAAATTGCCATTATTTAGCACCTAGTTATGAGAAGGTAAATGAAAAGGCTTACAAAATCAGGAGCTTGGTTTCTGTAAAGGATTTTTTGATATTTAAGCATTTAGGTAAGTTCATAATCTGGTATTTTTCTATCAGTGTACCTCTTTAAAAACACACATAAGCCGTGATACAGAAATAAAGATTACAAAATTATAAATCAGACTTAAGCTTAAGAGAATTACAACTGCAAAAGTCAAAATTACTTTTTCAATTATTTGATCTGCTCAAAGTATTGAGAGCCACAGAGAGTTTTGTTTCTTTACTGGGCAACAAATGTAAGGCTGTGGAAGCAGAAACTGCTTTCAGATTCAGGCATAACCTGCAAGGGTATTGTTTTAAACCAGTGTTTGATGGTGTGGCTTATGGGTGTAAATAAGCATTCCTTTTTCAAATATGGTGGACAGGGGAGAGCAGGAGCCATGAAAGACTTCAAAAATATGTGAAGTGGCTTAACAGTGGAACACTAAAGTCTGGGTAGGGTAGTTTTAGGAAAAGCGTTTTTGAGGGTAGTTCCATATATTGATGGGTGCCAGTCCTGTGAATTTAATGCTGTCTATTCCTAGCTGAAACATCAGCCCAAACTTCTTGATAGAGAAGTACTTTTGAGTTAAAAGCTGTCTCCTGTTTTCCCATCATCCACACAGTCTAAGGAATTCATGGCTTATATTAGAGCTGTAACACTTCAACTCTTCTCTCACTGAAAACAAGCAAGCCTATTGAGACAGCTGTGTACAGTCAGCTTGCACACATAAATTATGTTATTTGAGCTTTACATTTTTGTCTTGAATGGTGTTGGGCACCACAAGTCATAGAATGCTCAGGTAGGTATTTTTCAGCAGCAAAGATTGGTTAAATTAATTTATTTTTCTTTTAAAAATTTGTCTGAGCTATAAAGTTGTTTTTGCCTGCTAGAAATCACCCTGATTCCTGCTATATACAGTTAAATGTAAAGAACATATGAAACAGGAGAAACTGACCTGCAATAGATAGTACTTATATGCAGCAAATTACAGCCTTAAACAAACTCATGATATCTGAACAAAGTGATTAATTTATGTAAGATAAGCTGGTATATTAGTATTTCCCTTTTCCTAAGTAATGCCAGTTTGTTGCAGTTGTACACAAATGATATTTGCATTCTAAATTGTAGTACACCAAAAATTCTTGGTTTTCTCAGCACACTGAGAGACAAATCAAACTGTTCTTTGGTTGTGGAATGGCTTGCTATTTTGTCAAACCAAATTGGTTCCGTTTACTCCATTTTAAAAGAGAAATGCTGAAGTGTTTTTGCTGTGTGCTGAAAGATTGCAATGGCAGTTCTGTGTTTCGTGCCTGTAGTGTATCACCAAAGAAAAGAAGCATTTGATTGTGTATTTTTTTTAAGGTAGAGCAGCAAACATCTGGTAAGAAAACTTGAAAATAGTGATTCTTTGAATTGTTTACACTTAAAATTCTACCTTGACTTCACAATTTATGTGTATTTTTCTTTTTTGATTTAACTATTGCTATCATGGCATTGAGTCGCTGAAAGAAATAAACATGGAGTTGCCCAAAGTATGGAAGGGTGGGGGTTTAATTTTTTTTTTTTTTTTTTTTTTTGGTAAGCATTTTTGTAGTACAATAAATATACAATCACTATGTATACAAATGCATCCTGTTTCAGGAAACAGCTTAAGGGCTTGGTATTGAAACTAGTCTGTGCTCAGTAGTTACAGATGCTTGACCTGGCTAAGTTCTGTGATTTCTAGTATCTTTGATATTTAAAGGAATTTTGATGAGTTGAAAAGTCTGTATTGACTAAGTTCCTTGGCTAATGCACACCTTAGTGCGTATGCATAGCTAACACTTGCATGGAACATGCAGTGCTATCTGCAGATCAAAGGAGTAACTGCCAGAGCCATGGCAAAATATTTTTTGTGGCTATTGTTTGAACTAAATGCATAAACTAAAAAAAGTGTTTAATAGTTCTGAAGTCTCTCAATTTAGTTTCTGATTGTTCTGACATAATTCTATGAATGAGTAGTATGGTTTGTCTTCCAGTTTTTCAGTTTTCAAAATAAATGAATGCACATTGTAAGACTTCTTGCAGTGTCTTACATGTGGTAGGAAGAAACCTTTAAAAAGTATCATGAAATGAGATTGATCCTGAACACTGCTCTGCTTTACAATAATTCAAATAAATTTAATAATTTAGGTCATAAAGCCTCTCTTGTAGATGTGTACTCTGGAGCAGGCCTCAGTTTGTTACTTTTGTCACCTTTGGCATTTAAATCCATTTGTCATTATATAAACTTTTTGTGGTTGTTTACCAAATAAAGTTTGGTGCAAAATGTGAGGTCACCACCAGTTAAAGCAAAATAAATGATAAATCTTTCCGTAAAACTGTAAAGCATTTAATAGTATTCAACCTAAGGAATTCCTCATCCTCCTCCTGTCTTCACCCTTGTATAAGAAAAATGCTAGTAATAAATGATCTTTGACCACTCCCTGACCACCAGTGTAACAAGAACCCATAGTTCTTCAGATTAATTTGGAATGGGACTAGGCATGTTGTTTTTAAAGCTGTGTAAATGTCTGAAATAATTTTCATTTGCTACTGTTCTCTCATGGGTTAAGTTGCTATTAATTTTAAAACTATCTTACTTACCCTTTGAAAATTTCTTAGTGTGACTTCCGAGCTGCTGACTCTGAGTTGCCGTTTTCATTTGGCTTGCCTTGCTCATTTCTCATTTGACAGAATTATCACTTGAGCCTCTCTCTTTTCTTTCTGGAAGCTGCATCCAGAAAACATGCCCAGTTTCATAAGGCCAAAGTGGGGATAAAAGGTGTACTCATGTGCATGTGATCTCTTTTAGATCACACAGTCCATTCACTTTTCTCTGAGAATATCGTAGCGTAGTTTTTAAAGAAAACAAGCCTGTTTTATAAAGGAATAAATGTCTAGCTTTTCAGGAAAAAAACCCATACTTTTGGAATGTTTATGCTGTTTATCTTAATCTGAAGCCACGTTTCTACAGTGTGTGGTCTATTGTTTCTATGAAAGATCTAGGAGAGCAGTTTTTAAAAGGTGAAGCAGAAATTTGAAGGTCTGCGGTTAGGACTCTTTGTTTATAACCTAAAACTGGAATTCCTGCAAGACACGTTAAAAAAAAATGACTGAATGACTTCAGAAAACTACTTATCTATGTACTTTTTAGATATGACAAAACTTCAGACTTGATTTTTTTTCTTGCTCTCTGATACACTAGTTGCTTTTAATCAGTTCCCCCTCCTCCCTTTTTTTTTTTTAAAGATAAAGTTGAAATGTTTATTTTAGAACAAAGTTCTTAAAATGTGGAGATAGGTGCAACTGAGGTGGTTTAGGTGCTATTTAACAGGAAGTTTCTCCAAGCTCTGCTTGTGCCGGGAATAATACAGCTCTAGAAGTCATTCCCTTCTCACTTCTTGTTCAGTATACACCTTGTTACAAAGTGTATTATAAAAGTTTTGTTTCTGTTGTTCTAGGGTTAAGAAAATGCCTAACCATTTGGGTCTTGTGATTATTATTATGATTCTTGATTCAGGCTCTGACACTGATTGAGCCTGAGCTTTTTCAGTGGTGGAAAGAGTAAACAGGCTGTGGAGCTTCTTACGTGACAGTTGCCCAAAGACTTGCTCAATAAGTGTAATATTTAGTCCTGCCACATTTTTTGAGCTTTACTCTATGGGGCATTGACTGGGATTTGAGAATAACTACTTGAATGATACAGAATATCAAGAAAAGATACGTTTTCAGTCTTAACAACCAAACTGCATATTGTCTGTGAACTTCTGAACTTGACTGTTTTAGAAATGCAGTATTAATTTTCTGTGGAAAAAAAAAAGTCTCCTAAGGTGTCCTAGCCTGAAATAGAGTGTGAGGAAAAGGTCTCTGAAATCATACTTGTTTATTCTGTTGTCTGAAAATAATTCTTCCTCTTGTCCCACTTGAGGGCTGTACAAGAAACAGAAAGACTGATATCAGAGCAGGACTTTCTTCCAAGTCAGTGTCTTCTGGGAAATGCAACATGAAGCAGCAGCTTTCAAGCCCTGCCAGCTTGTGTCAGCTTTTGCTATATTGATCTCTAATTTATTGCCTTCTTTTTGGGAAATGCTACATTCACAGCTAATGTAATTGCTGTCCTGCTGCTCTAATAATTACTTGGAAGTCAAATTAGCTGATCATTAATCCTCTGGCAAAATAGTGGTTCCATTAGAGAATGTTAATTAGTTGAAACCAGTCCTCCTTTTTAGGAATGTGCATACCAGACTTGATGGGAAGTGTTTTCTCTGGTCCAAAATGGAATTTCTAGTCAAAGCCAAGCCTGGAATAGCGAGAAAAAAAAAAAGAGTCTAGGGGTTTAAGGAGTCGTATGGAACAGAAGATACAAAGCTTAAGACCAGTT